GACAAAATACTGCTCAATCTAACAGCTCCTCTGATTTGACTGCCTGCCTGTCTTTTCTGACACACTGTAGAGCTTTGAAGCAATCTTACAGCTACAGACCTATCAGCTGACCTACAATTGTCAAAGCAGTCATCTGTATTTTTAAAATGTCACAGGACTATAAGTCTTGTTCTGGATTTACCAAATTGAAGGGAGAGGGAGAGAATGAAAGAAAGAGAGAATCCATTAAACCTGGATACAGTTACACTGAAGGGCATATAATTTAAAACACTCATTATTATTATTATATGTATATTTTTTCCTACACAGTTCAATGGAAAAATATGCATGTGCATTCAGAAGGGTTTTTTACAATTGCTGTTTTAACCAGGACTATCAAAGCCTTTGTTAAGAAAATCCCAGGAAGGCAATGATTTTTGTTTGTTTTTATATGGTTCCTCTGAACAGTATATTGTACATTTTTCTGAAAAGTTTTATGGAAAAATCCAACTCTGTAACATGCCAAAACAAATCTAGATGAAATGGTGGGAGCTCAATTACACCAGAGGAAACCCAGGCATACTTTTCAGCCCAATAGATAATGCTATTTCTATGTCTCAAATATAATGGCAGGACATTTAAGTAATGCAACTCTTATGGTAGTGGTGAAAAAATCCTGGGAGAAAAGTTGCAATGGGTAAAACAGTTGACAGAAAGGGGGGAAAGTATATTATGCCACATTTTCAACTGGATCATAAAATTATTCTGTCCATCTAATTTGAACACCTAGATCAGCTATATCCAATCTTAGCAATTTAGCAACTTTTAAGACTTGTGGACTTCACCTCCCAATATTCCCCAGCCAGCATTCCCCAGAATCCTGTGAATTTGTCTACCAGTCATATAGTTGCCAAGGATGGACACCCCTGATCTAGACAGAGCTTGTTGAGAGTCCAATATGAGATACAGGGGATCTTAAACCTTCTTGGTTTTAGCCCTTAATCTCCAGAATTCTTTTCTTCTGGAGGTGTATTTGCCCATGAGATCTCTCTTACTTTGGAAGGCTCAGTTTCAATGGGCATTGGCTCTTGCAATGATTGTATGTAGCAACTGAATTTTTTATTGATTGTTGTATTATGTATATATTTTCATGACGGTTGAACTTGTATTCAGAGACCACAAAGATTGGAGTGCTACACACAAATGTTAGTAAATAAGCAAACATTGCAGGTATGCACAACTTTACACTCTGATCTTGGAGAAGGGGCATTTTAGAAACAACTTTCTTTCAAAGGCTTCCAAGTCTATTTGGAGGATAAGTGCCTTAGAAGAGAACACTGAAGGCAGTATGCAGTCTAAGACTAACTAAGAAAAATACTAGGCTGTCTTTGAATCATCCAAAAACAGAATCCCAGAAAGTTCTTTTTTCTAGAGTGAATATGTGTGCATGCTGATGGCAGAAGACGTTGAATCCAATTTAAGGAGAGAAAAAAACTTTCCAGAATTACATGCATTACAATACACTGGATGGACTGGAGAAGTGCTGGTTATAAATATGTCTCAGGGACTATGTCACATTGCTGAAACTTGACAGTCATAAATTCTTGTTCCTGATGATCTGTTTATGATCTTGATTTATGTCTTGGCTCCAAGTTTTCCATAGGTCCTTGCATGTGACCTCCTGTCTTTGATCTCTGGTTGTTTATGACTTCCGTGTGTGCTCTGCTGTTTCTTGAATGTCAATCATTCTGGAGCAGAACACCCCCTATTGACTCTAAAATGACAGAGGGAAAGAAGTAAAACAACTGGCCAGATATTGATACAAGCATTTTTAGGCCTTGATATAGAAAATTAAATGTAAGCATTATCCCTTTTCTTTTCTCAGCTATGAAATAAATTGCAGGAGATTCTTGCAGTCAACATGTTCTTGGTTAGGATATTTTGGTGGGTACTCCCATTATCCCTGGCTGGAAGAAAGATATATATGCTCTTTGCACACACATCAGTGTTTTTCCCCAAGACACCAACACCTACAAAGTATGCACTGAGCTCCAAAACACTGTTTGTTAGTTGACTGTTGCAATCCAAAATAATTTAATTTTACCAATAGGGATATCTTGAAATGTCTCAGAAAGATTATTTTTTTGCTAAGAATGTTGCTAAAATTCCTGAATAGCAAAGAATCCTATTACATGTTCCATTATCTGTGGTAAATATAAGTATAGCAAAAGTGGCAGCAAGAAATCTCCCTGCAATAATCTCTGATGTTCTGAAGGTCTTTCATGTATACTATGGGCAAGGCTGCTCTTTTCCTTAGTTCTTGCCTTACATTCCATGTTTTTGTTCTTCTCTTTGTCCCTGGGTAAGGGAATAATCTAAATGCATGTAATACAATAATACAATAGCAGAGTTGGAAGGGACCTTGGAGGTCTTCTAGTCCAACCCCCTGCCTAGGCAGGAAACCCTATACCATTTCAGACAAATGGCTATCCAACATCTTCTTAAAGATTTCCAGTGTTGGGGCATTCACAACTTCTGGAGGCAAACTGTTCCACTGATTAATTGTTCTAACTGTCAGGAAATTTCTCCTCAGTTCTAAGTTGCTTATTTCCTTGATTAGTTTCCACCCATTGCTTCTTGTTCTACCTTCAGGTGCCTTGGAGAATAGTTTGACTCCCTCTTCTTTGTAACAACCCCTGAAATATTGGAACACTGCTATCATGTCTCTCCTAGTTCTTATTTTCATTAAACTAAACATATCCAGTTCCTGCAACCGTTGTTCATATGTTTTAGTCTCCTGTCCCCTAATCATCTTTGTTGCTCTTCTCTGCACTCTTTCTAGAGTCTCCACATCTTTTCTACATCTTGGCGACCAAAACTGAATGCAGTATTCCAAGTGTGGCCTTACCAAGGCATTATAAAGTGGTATTAACACTTCACGTGATCTTGATTCTATCCCTCTGTTTATGCAGCTTGGAACTGTGTTGGCTTTTTTGGCAGCTGCTGCACATTGCTGGCTCATATTTAAATGGTTGTCCACTAGAACTCCAAGATCCCTTTCACAGTTACTACTGTTGAGCAAGGTACCACCTATACTGTACCTGTGCATTTTGTTTTTCTTGCCTAAATGTAGAACCTTACTCTTTTCACCATTGAATTTCATTTTATTAGACAGTGCCCAATGTTCAAGTTTGTCAAGATCCTTCTGTATCTGAAGGCTGTCTTCTGGAGTGTAGGCTATTCCTACCAGCTTGGTGTCATCTGCAAATGTGATGAGTTCCCCATTTATTCCCTCATCCAAATCATTGATGAAGATGTTGAAGAGTACTTTTGATTTACCTTGCACAATAATTGGCATAAGATCTTCCTTTTTTTAACATTTTTTTAAATATTTTTACAAAGGATTCCAACATCTCTGGAATACTGCTGCTTCCCCAAACTATTTATTTAACTATCACAGGAATTGGCCTGAAGCAGGCATCAGAACCTAATTGATTGAAGATCTTATCATTCCTCATAATTGGCCATGCTAGGTAGAAGAGAGGGTAGTGACAGCAAATCAGTATTTGGGGGGATCCTATACAACATGCTACTGGTAAACCATTTTCCTTGTGCTTTATCCTGCAGGATCTTAGAACTCAATATAATGAATATGAAAAATCTGTTCCATTTAACCAACCATTTTTCATTGCTTCTTACAGTCTCCTGACACCATTTATGAACACAGAAGCCTTAGCTTTTTCTGTATTCCTAAAGAATACTGTATTCTTGCATGCCTCAGAGGCCTATATCCGAACACAGTATTTTGACTCATTACCCTGGATTTTTTTTTATCTCCAGAAGAATACTAATATACTATATTAATATAGTATTTTATTTAAGAAAACTCTTTAGTAAATTGCTGAAGTTCCTTGTATTCATTGGTCTCACCCCTTCCCTTTTCAAAATTACAGGTTTTCTTTCTTTCAAATAAACTGGGGCTATGTTTGCTCTAAAGACAGAATATTTTTTCTGCTGACACCAGAATTTTAGTACATTATTTGAACTTTTCATTTGATTGTTCTGTGCCTTTTTGTGCAATATTTGATCATGTTTCTCTATAAAGTTCAATATCTGTAAAAAAATCATTAATTTACATCCAAATGCAAAAGTCATTATCAGCCCCTGCAATAAAATACAGGTATATACAGATACATATACAAAAAGAAAATAGAGATATACAGTAGACCGATACACACACACATAACACACACACAAACACTCGTTTCCCTCAAACCTCTGTAAGGTATCGTGGAAAGTGAAAATACTAATAGCAAGACTTCTGGAGGACAGATATTCACATAGCTTCTATTCTCCTAAATACCTAAATACCATTTAGGAGACATTTATTACCATTTATTTTATTTGGGAGAAAGTGAAATGCTAATGATTGGCTTCCCAATATTCTATGTTCCAAATAATGGTAACCGAGCTTTGGGAGATGAGAATTCAGCAGCAGAGAAATATGTTGCAATATATAAGCTCTGTCTGTATCTGTTTGCTCTTTTGCATAACTTATATGAAGGCAGGATGATAGCAAAAGATTGCATGAGAAAAATATCATTATGTTTATGTATTTTTCATAAGAAAAATATAATGTGTACTAGAAAAGGCTGATCGTTTGTCAAAGTATATTCAAATCCACAGCCCAAACAATATTCAAACATTAATAAGTTTACAAAGAGAGAGTTATTTATGTAGAGATGCATTAACAAGGGAAGCACAATGCATTTGGTTATATTTTTTCAGATCATAATGTTTTAATAATGTGGCTTCTGCTTTCTATAAAGTTGTGAATTGAGAGCAGGTTATGAATGGACTGTACATTTATTTTGTGACATTCCTTGAACAGATGTCCCAGATGAGGAAATTCTTCATGGATTAATGATGTTATTGTGAGGTTTTCTTAGCAAGAACCTTCTTTCGAAGCCTTGAGCGGTGAATCATGAGGCTGCCTGAACTAGAAGTGGAGTTATTCATGCTGTTAGATAAGGCGCAGAGATAGAGATGGGCTTCTCTAATTACTCACATCTTGGAGCAACCAACTGAAATTTATATACCTGGAACAAAGATGGGAGAAATTTGTTCAATTTGCACTTCCCAAACTAATACGTGAACTGAAATGTAATATTTAATATTTGTTTTTTCTTAGATTGTAAGAGTGCCGTTTTCTGGGCATAAAAGTTTGCATTTAAAGAGAGAAAAACGGTATAGTAACAATTGGGATATTGCCTTAAAAGCAATGGGCTAGTGCAGTGGTTAAGACACCAGACAGACAAGGTTTGAGACCTGAGAACTGCATAACGGGCTGAGGTTTCAATCAGCTTCTGCCAACCTAGCAGTTTGAAAGCATGCAAATGCAAGTGTGTGTGTGTGTGTGTGTGTGTGTACACACACACACACGTATCACTTCATTGGGAAGGTAACCAAAGTCTGTGATGTCATGCTGGCCACATTTCCATGGAAACATCTTCAGACAGCACTGATTCAATGGCCTTGAAATGGAGATCAGCACCACCCCCTATAGTTGGCACTGATAGCACAGTAAAATCTGCAGGGACTCCTTGAGGAATTATGAGATTATTTAAAAGCATAAAGAAAAAGGGTTTATATTCTGCAACAAACAAACAAACTGGTTTACTCTTTAAAAAAAATTAAGTGAAGATGAAAATAGCATTTTTTGACTAGCATGCATGTATTAAAAAGTAAGTTCAACATCTGTTCTCTTGGATCTTGACTGGCAAATATTTTTTGGAGATCATTAATTTTATATTTTTAAAAAATATGCCACTCTAATATATTGCTCATAAAATGGAAAGATAAACCTCTCATTTGTAGCAAAATTTACTATAATGGAAAATATATGTACCTCAGGGTTGGAATGCTGAGGGAACACCAAGATCCTAATAGTAATAAAGTTCCAATCTCAAAGGGAGAGAAATCCATGCCAGAATAATAGTTTCTGATCCTTGCAGTACGCTTCTAGAATGATTCTTATTGACACCAGTTGTAGCATCAGAATGGGTAAAACTAGCTCTATGGGCAAGGTAAACTCATTGTTTTCCTGCTGTGGTTCCATAGTTGATATCAACTAGAGCTTGAACATAGCAGTGGTGCCGCAGTGGTTAGGGTGCAGTACTGCAGGCCACTTCAGCTGACTGTTATCTGCAGTTCAGCGGTTCAAATCTCACCGGCTCAAGGCTGACTCAGCCTTCCATCCTTCCGAGGTGGGTGAAATAAGGACCCAGACTGTGGGGGCAATATGCTGACTCTGTAAACCGCTTACAGAGGGCTGAAAGCCCTATGAAGCGGTATATAAGTCTAACTGCTATTGCTATTGCTATTGTTCTTCTTTTGGATTTCATTGAGTGGGAACAATTTTAATTTGAAATGGGGAGACAGAGACAGAGAGAGGGGTGGAGGAGAGAGGGAGAAAGAGAGACAGAGAAACAAACATATGGAATGAAAATAGGAACATAAATGCCATTTCATGCCTCCCTCACTTTTGTCTTGTAGCAACAGGTCAATAACGCAAAAGAATTTGCAGAATTTGATCCTGAAGTATTCCATCATCCCAGTACCATGGTTTTATATTTATCTATATAATTTTAAACCAGACTATGATCAAGTTTGCAGATTAATAATATACAAATATAATCAGTTGAGTCCTTCCATTCAATTTAACACAATGTGTACATATCACCATAAATTTAGAGAATAATAGAAAGGAATATTTTCCGTCAAACCCTTGCTTAGTACAGGACTAGACTCCACTTGTACAGATCAAATACAAGAGTAGACTCCACGTGAACCGATTCACCATTTCCCAGAATAATTGTTCTCTTATCAAACTGTTCTATTTGTTTTTAATAGTCAGTTCGAATCTGTGAATTAGGTCCTGTGAGTTAAGTCCACTTTATATTTGTATGTCTGTCTTGAATTTTGGAACAACCGAGAAGAAGTTTTGACCCTTGTCTGTATCCTTTCAAATACAGTATTTGCATATTTATCAGATATTGTCCTTAGTGTATTTCTTCTCAAGATTAAACATTCCCAATTCTTTCACTCTTTCTTTGTAGGATTTTATTTTTGGTTCCTTGATCATTCTCGTTGCTTTTCTCTAAACCTGTTTCAGTTAATCTGAATCTTCTTAAAAGTGTGATGCCCCATACTGGAGGTAGGTATGACTTACATAGTATAAAATAGTATTTCCACTCTTGATGTAACCTACTTTTGCTGTTTGCTTTTGTGACTGCATCACATAGCTGACTCATATTTCATAACTACTGTGCTATATACCATGATCAGGCTGAAAACATACCCACACTGGAATGTTGTGTATCACCTGGGCATTAAATTCATTCAAAGTAAATACATATATTTCATTGTCCTGTTTCTATTAATCTCAAATTTTAGTCCTGTAATTTGTTCTTTTCAGTTATCTGGTGGAACACACAGTCCTTCATTAAAGTGGCTTGACAAAAATAGGAATTAAGTGGCTTGCTTTTTCTTCATTATATGCTAGCTTTTGATCTATTTCATCGAGCAGCTGGTATACTGATTTTCTTGTTCCTTGTATTTTAAATAATTTTAATCTCAATTTTAATCAGTTCATTCTAAACTATAGTTTTAGACTTCATGACTGTAATTGTTTTAGTGACCTGTTTTATTTTCATTTTCTAAATGTCCTCTTTTTTCATTTTCAGGTTTTTATAAAGCTTTGTAAAAATGAACATTGGTTTCATTGGCTGTTCTCCATCATTCTTCCTCATAATAATTATTTTCAATTGTGCTTGTTGTTGTTGCTTTTTAATGAACTTTCATCTACTTTAAGCTCCATTTTCTATTAGTTTGTTTTTCTAATGAATCCTCCTTATCATTTTTTTCTGGGTTTATTAAAATCCAGTCCATTAAATTTTTAATTGTTTTAAAACCGCAAAGAAAAGTATTTGACTATACAGAAGTTGGTTTCCTGGAAATATGTTTTTATGTGCTTGCTATTTCCACTTCCTTGACTACATGTCCCAATTGATTAGCATCAATTAATAGCCTAGAAGAGCTATTTTCTCCAGCCTTCCTCTGTTTTCTGAAGATGAAGAAAAAATGTTAGCATGTCAGGAATTTTCTGGTAGGAGTGTGCTTAGCAGAAATTGTCTCTCAACTGATGTGAGGGTTATCCAAATCCTGCATCACTACCACTTCATGCTTCTTTGAAAGATCTTTTGGAATGCAGTAATCATATTTTCTCTTTAATACAGTGGGTCATATTAGATGCCCACAGCAGTTTTTATTGTCTGTGTCCCCACATATTTGAACCCAGATTTACTCTACAGCAGTGTTTCTCAGCCTTAGAAACTTTAATGTCTGTGGACTTCAACTTGCACAATTGCCCAGCCAAAATTGAAGTCCACACATCTTAAAATTGCTAAGATAAATACTGGCCTATAATATTGGCAAATTAATTTTGATTACTGAACAAGCTTAGATATTTTTAACATAGCAACTAATTATTTTCAACTGTGCTTCTTTTGAACCAACTGCATCTTCAATTGTTCAGTTCCAATCACAGAAAGCCTCTCACCAGGTCTCCCTTATATCTACTGAATCTTATTTCTTCCCTTGACTAAGAATTCAAGCTCAATTTATTTGTCTCTGGTACTCTATTAGTAGATATGATGGTCATACATTTTATTTGAGTGGTTAATAGCAGCACTCTCTTTTCCTTCCACAGTGCTCAAGTATTTATGTGAAGTCCTTCCTTCAGAGTTCTTATCTTCAAGCCCAAAAGGATTACATTTTAAAACCTTCTGGTCAAATTTGCCATGCTTCAGCTTGGCAAGCAGTCCATTATTCTGATAATTAAGACTATTGTTCCAGGAATCTAATCTCTTCCATCATCATCAATAGCCTAACCAGACATTCATTTGCAATATTCGTCTTTCCTACTCCAATCGTTTTAGATTGCAGGGAAAACCACCCAAGATCAATACCACCACATCCTTCCATCAGCTTGAGCTTCCTTCAGCATCCATATTCCTTGAAGCATAATTTATTTCCACATAAATTAGATGGAAGAGTTATTTGTCTGTGGGATTCATAAATCTTGAAAGTTAGTCCTGAGATATCCTTGAAATTTATTTGTAGCAGATAGTTCATATCATAAACCAATGAGTCCAAACTGTATACAGTGTTCTTTTTAAAATAACGAGACACCAACCATCATAATTCTTTCCTTTGTTTGATCAAAACTGAATAGAATGTAATGATTAGTTCCAGAGATTTGGAAATTATTTATTTAGTTATTGATTTGATTTTTATTCAATTTGTTAAGCCCATTCAATTCAGATAAGACCGGATGGCTTATAAAATATCAACCATATTTAAAACACAATTTAAAATATAAAAAAAATGTTACAAAATTCCTGGAGGAAAAGAAACAATAATATTAAAAACAAAAACAAAAACAAAACATGACAGGGTTTCCACAAGCCCTCTAATCCCAGGCCTGGAACAGAATCAGATCTTAAGGGACTTTAAGACATTTGGAGAATGAGAGCCATATGTATTTCTGGGGTATTCAGCATCCTGCATCCTGCCTGTTTCTTTCTTTCTTTTTGCTTGATTTGAAAATTCAAAGTTTACATCTTTAAAAATCTGAACATTGTTTCTTAGTTCCAATGGAGCAGAATATTGTCGAGGTTCCTTGATTCTTGCTATTACTGTTGTCAATTAACCTTCATTCTTTATTTGACAATCTTCCTTATGGTAAGTTGTTTTCAATGTTAGTTTCTACCTTAGGAACTGCTTTATGGGAACCAATAAAACCTCCTTTCTTATCAGATAATCATTTACTACTCCTATTCTTTGATTTATTCTTCAAGGGCAACTACAGGGTTACACTTGCTGAATAAGTAGGCCAGAGTGTTGTCAACCAGGAACATAAATAGGCATGAGCACTGCAGGTAAAGGATTTCTCATCCAAGGATCTTCATCTCCACTTTTGTTTCTTAAGCTTTTACCAGTTTTACTGCAGAGAAGCATATAATCATAAAATAATAAA